ATGAACTGCCAGCTTCTCCAGGAGAATGCTATGGGAGACTGTGTCGAAGGCTTTGCTGAAGTCCAGGTAGACAACATCCACAGCCTTTCCCTCATCTACCAGGCGGGTCACCTGGTCGTAGAAGGAAATCAGGTTGGTTAGGCAAGACCTGCCTTTCATGAACCCATGTTGGCTGGGCCTGATCCCCTGATTGTCCTCCATGTGCCTGGTGAGCACATTCAAGATGAACCTCTCCATAATCTTCCCCGGTACTGAGGTCAGGCTGACTGGTCTGTAGTTCCCCGGATCCTCCTTCCGGCCCTTCTTGAAGATAGGTGTCACATTTGCCAACCTGCAGTCATCTGGGACCTCCCCTGTTATCCAGGACTGCTGATAAATGATAGAGAGTGCCTTGGCAAGCTCCTCTGCCAGCTCCTTCAGCACTCTTGGGTGGATCCCATCTGGCCCCATAGACTTGTGGATGTCCAGGTGGCATAGCAGGTCAAAGACGGCTTCCTCCTGGATTATGGGGGGTTTATTCCACTCACCGTCCCCACCTTCCAGCCCGGGAGGAGCCCAGGTCACACAATACATAACCCACGGAGCAGCAAGGCTGTGCCCAGGCCTCTTGAGTCTGAGTCACCAGGTAGAACCAAGTGAATCCTCCTTCCTCAGCCAACCCACGTACAACAGCTCCTGAGAATGGGCCTAACCGAAGGACAGAGGATGGCAAAGCAGCGGGCCGCCAGCAGAGACAGTGCCAACACTCTAGGGAGTCCATGTCCTTGCTGCGGGAGCACTTTGGAAGACAGCATCTGTTGGCAAAGAGCTTCAAAGGACCATCACCAGTGATGCCTCGTAGCGGGAGCACTGCTGTTCAGGGCTACGAGTCCACAGCGGACTGGTTGAACCTGGAGGACCACAGGTCACCAGAGCACCCGGTTACGGCTGTGCCCGCATCCCCAGACAAATGTCAAGTCCCCACAAAGGACTGTCCTTGTCCCAAGTCCTCCTCCGCTGTCTTCTGACTACTTGATGCACAGCATTTCATTCAATCTTCATTTTTCTTACATTTATTTTTCTGTTTCTACTTCAAGAAGTTGTTTCATTTTCATTCAAGATCCGTGTCTCCAGCCTGCCTACTGCTGGAATTTCATTCACTGCCAGGGCAAGAGGAAAATGTCATGCACGGAGGAAACAGCAACTGCTACTATGAAAATCTGCTCAGTAAAGGGAAGAGAAAGTGATGGCAACAGCACATGCAGAGGTGTGGAAAGCAGTTACTGGAGAGAGGCTGTGGTGGGGGAGGTGTTTGTCCTGTATTGCACCAGGCTGCAAAAGGCTGCTATGGACCTTTGGCTGGAGATGCCCCTTGAACAGCTCTACCGCACTGTCCCTGGACCTGAAGTTCCCCCAAAGACTTTATCACAGCACCATGCCCAGATGCAGTAGAGGAGGAGACATGGCTTTGAGAAAGCAACGTGCATTTATTTATCTGACTGGTGTATTTTCTGTGGTTCCACAGCCAGACCCTGCCAGCCTGGCTCCATTGGTTTCAGCTGGCCACATGTGCTCACACCAGCCAGGGATCCCCCCCAGAACATGCCAGAGTGCTCCTCTGGCAGAAGCATCTTATGCGGGCCCAGGATAAATGTGCAGTCATGATGTTTGTCACGGTGCTGGCCAAGCTAAGGACCTGAAGGCAATGGTAGAGCCAGGCCCCATTTCTTCCCAGTGGGTCTGTGTCACATCCCAACAACCAAGACCAGTGTCAGCAGCCACGTGCTGGAGGGCTGCTGGGAGGAGAGATAAGGTGGGCAAGCCCGGCCACACTGAAAAGCAACATGGCATCTGCTCCCAGAGATGAAGGCTGCGTTCTGCTTCCTCACGTGATGGACCTTTCACTTTGCTCTTCACAGAGCAGTGACCACCCAGGGCTGCAGGGCAAGAGCCCCAGGTCCCATCCACTCCCCCCAAATAAGCACTGGTACTCCCGGGCTGAGGAGCGGCACTGGGAGGCGCGAAGGTAGCAGCGCCCTGGCTCCTGCCCTTGCTCAGAGGGGGTTAAACAACTGCCCACACCAGTGGAGCACGGTGCAGGGAGTGACTCACTACAGCCCCACTGAGAAACCCATTTAGCTTTGGTGACACCACCCGCACCACGCGCTGGCTTGCAGGGAGCCAGGGGCCGCCTGACGTGAAGGCAGCAGTGGCAGCGGTGGACGGACCAGCAGCCTGTCCCAGCCTGGCCCTGCCCCAGGTCCCCTGCTCGTCCCTGGCGTCACTGTAATGCAGGGCAGCAGGCGCAGAGGGGTGACAGCACTGGTGTCTCCACGGGGTGCGGGTATTCTGGGAGATACACATGGCTTAATTTTACGTTCTTTATATATATATATTTTGCTACAGTTTTGACAACAAAACCTGCACAGAGCATAAATATCCCCTAATCTCATCCAACCTCCAGTTCAGCTCCCTGACGAGCCCATTGAACATTGATTGATTGAGTCTTCCCATCTCCTTTTTCACTATGGAAGGGGAGATGTGCATCAAAGGCCATGTGCTAGGTGCAGCAAGGGGGTGTCCTTTCCTCCCTCAGCCCATCCAACCCACCAGAGAGAGTTGGGAGGGATGGAGAGAAGGAGATAAGCTTGGGGACAGGTTCCTCAAGTGAGACAGGGGCTACACAGCCTCGGCAGCTGCTCAGCTGCTCTCGCACAGGTCATGGGCTGCCCGCGTCTCAGTTTACCTTGTAGACCTTGGAGAAGAAGCCGCTGCCTATCAGCTCGGCGTTGAAGCTTTCCCAGAACTCCAGCTTCCTGACAGCCGTGCGCAGCCTCTGCCAGCGGTCCACATGGTAGTAGGTGTCGGAGGACTCACCATAGTATTGCATGGGGCCGGAGGGCTCTGGTGCGATCAGCCCAGCCTCGCACATCACGGGCCTGGCAGCTAAAACACAGCGCATTGCACAGTGAGCCAACAGCGGCGCTTGGAGATCAAACAAATACCAGAGACCGGGACTGGACCAAGCCTGAGGGAGCGTAGAGGAGGCACCGAGATGGTGCACCCTGCAGCACACACGGCACCGGGGAGCACTCATGGGCTCCCTGGATAAGTCACCCTGGGCTTAGGCCTGCCTCATGCCAGTTGTATTCGGACTTCTTTAGACTAGGACTTAAAGATGTCAAATTCACATATATTCATTTGCACCTTCTAAAGGTTTACAACAGATAGGATGCATCACCTCCAGCACACAACAGTGCAGCCCAGGGAAAGCCCAGGGGACTCGGTCTGGCTCAGCCAGCTTATGCTGGATTAAAAGCCACTGTGTCAACGTGCCGCACACCAATGGCACCTGTCACCCAGAGCTCCAGCCAGGGCTTAGCTCCTAGAGCAGACAGAGGGTTGTGGCTTGAGCGTGCTCGCAGGGAACGCTCCATCTGAAAAGGCTCCTCACTGGGCAGGTGCCCACGGTTCATCGTAAGCCCTAAGGCATCACAGAGCAAGGAAATGCCCCAGCAACCTCCTCCTGTCTGTGTATCCTGAACTTGACTCCAAGCCCCAAGTGCCTCTGCTAAATTGTCTGCCTCTTCCACAACTCCGATTCCCACACTTCCCTCTCCAGTCCCCTCCCTCCGTTCCTCTGCCTGCCTTTACCACACTGGTCTCGCGTTCCCCCAAAGCCATTTGCCATCCTTCACTTCTCCCCCATCGCCTGCCTCTAGTTACTTCCAAAAATGCAGGGGAGGCAAATCCAGTGGAGAACGGACTTCTGGCACCCGAAGCGAGGCCAATAAGGCACCCACTTCTGGACAACTGTAAGCAACTGCTGCTTCGCTACAAAGCTGTCAGCACCTTCCACTCCCAGCATGTGCTCAGATCCCCGGGGCCCAGCGAGCTGCTTTGCCAGACTAAAACCAGACAAGGTCAACATAGGGAAATTGTTCAACGCTTCCAGCTGAAGCACAGGTAAGCACTGCCCTCCCTATGCTTTCTGTCCTAGGTCTTGCATCAGACAAGGACCTGTATCAGTATCCCTCGATCCGTGGGTTATTTCATGGCTACTTTGCTTCTACAGGGCGAAGCAAAATCTGCCCTGGGACGCACATAATATATTTGCAGTGGCCACCTCATCCACCCACAGCCCAGCCAAGATCCAAAGAGAGAGCTGCCAAATGGGGCACAGACGTGGTGGCAGGGCTAAGCAGGGCAGGAATTCAGGAATTGCTGAGGGCTGGGACATGGGGCAGGCAGTATCGAGCAGGGCAGGGATCCTGATGCAAACAGTGGGCAAACTCCAGGCTCAGGGAGCTGCAATGCAGGGGAACAACACAAACTTCTGAAGGCAGCCAGACCCCAAAGTTGCCACCATGGGACAGTCCCACACGGACCGCAGGAATTCAGTCCCAGCAAAATCAACAGGATGCATAGGCTCCTACCTGGTTGCATGGCAAACACCTGCAGGACCAAAGTCCCAGAGCTGCTCCTGAACAGGGGAGCCTGTGGCCACGATCAGCAGAGAGCACTCAGGTCAGGAAAGAGGTTACAGGGCCGCAGCTTTACCCCTGGTCGGATCCAAGGACAAGCAACCGAGGAACATCCCATGATGGGACGCAGCTGCAGGGACCTGCCTGGAGGCTCTTGCCTTGAGCCGGTCACTGCTCCTGGCAGCCAGCACCATCTGAACCACAGCTGTGCCTGGAGGCTCCTGCACAAGCAGGGACAGGACTCACATCAACCACACTCAGCACTGCTAAAGCCACCCTGCTCTGGCTGTGTCACTGATGGCATCACCTTCCGACAGGGATGACTCATCCCAGACCTGAGAGGGTATCTCTCTGGCGTGCAAAATGGTCCAGCCTTGGCCCAGTGTGGGGCACGAGTGCAGCAGAGGAAGGCACTGGTGCAGGCTGGTGGCAGGGTGCAGTAAAGGATGTTTATTGCCAAGGCCACGTTCAGTCTGCAGGGCCGAGGAGTGGGAAGGGCAGGCACTGAGGTGCTGCCGCTCCAGGCCAAGCAAGTAGCACTTCACATTCAGTCTGCAAGACAGAGAGGAGCTCCTCCACCTTCTGCACAACCGGCCAAGACAGAAGGGGATGCTGACAGAGTCTGATGGATCCTGCTGACCCCAAGCCGCCTACAAAACATGGAGAAGGAACGGCAAAGGGTTGCGCAGGGCACCAGACCTGTGTTTGAGGATGTACTCTCAGGGTTTACCCACTCCTGCCCCAAATCCTGGGACGCCCTCTCCTGTTGTGCGGATGGCAAAAGAGTCAGGCAGCAAGGCACAAGCTCACCTCGGAGCACCAGTCACCCACGGGCAGAGCTGTGGTGGGTACCCCCAACTGCTGCTCTCCCCACCAGGTACACTGACCCAGAGGGCTCCAAAAGCCTCTCCTTCCACTTCAGCCCCATCAGGGACAAAAGAGAGGAAGAGCAGCCTTTCCTGGGCAGAGCAGCAAGCCTGCAGGTGCCCTGGTCCCCAGCCACCTTGGAGCCCCTCCTGCCGCAGAGTGACCTGGGCACAGACCCGGGCAAGGCAGGCTGCCTGGGGCTGCTGCTTCCACAGAAAATGGTTTCCTTCTCAGAGGCCTCTCTGTTCAGTGCTTTTCCCACATACCGTCTCCTCCCGCCATGACCCAGTTCATCAATCGCCTCTTTGTCCAGTAAAGAATCCCTGCAGCATCCCCAGCACGCCGGGAATGGCCCCTGGCATTATGCTGCCGAGTGGGACCCGAGTCTTTATTTTCTTCTCATAAATGCGGCTGTTTGTCCCCAGATTAGTGCTGACACGTAGGCTGGGGGAGAAGACAGCCTTTCAAAATGCCAAGATTTATTTGAAGGCTTCCTAGGAGCTGGGGAGGGAGGGGGAGAGGTGGGAGAAGGGTGGGGAGCAGGAAGGACAGGCTCAGGGGACAGCCCGCAGCCCCAGCAGCCAGGCAGGGCGTGTTCCTGTGTCACCAGCCAGGGTTGGAATGCCCAAGCCATGCTTTTGTCTGAGCAAAGCACTGGGACAGCTGCCCATATCCCCACTGCTCCCAGCTCAAATTCAGCCTGTGGTGGGGAGACCGGGCTCCGGTGCAGGAGGAGGCTCGTACCCCTTAAGGCTGCCCTCCCTGCAGGGAGAGGGAAGACGGGGGGGACCGTGGTGCCACTGGCTCCCACCACCCTCTGGGGAAACTGTCCGTGTCCCCAGGCTTTCAGCTGCACACGCAGTGAGCAGGATGCTCCCTCTGTACATGCAGCCAATGTGCACCTCCCAGCTCCCTGGGGCAGCAAGAAGCGTGGAGGAAGCAGCTCATGGGCAGCTGGAAAATGTCTGGATGCTGTGAGCTGCCACCACAGGGAGCCCACTCCTTGCCAGACTAAAACCATGCGAAGTCATTTTGAAAAGCAGACCTGGGGCATGGTCTTGCTCTGGGCTTTCCTCGTCTGCAGGCACCAGAGAGGCACTCACACACCGCAGGGAAGGGTCTGACTCCTCAGCAGGACTTGCTGGGGCTGCAGTGCAGCACCCATGGGTCCCAGGTAAGCCACCACCCACCCTGCAGACCGGCTCTCCCAGCCCCGTGCACAGCTGGACACAGCCCCCAGCATCTGCCCAGGCCCAGGCTCTGCTGCGAGGATGCAAACCCCAGGCTTCAAACTCCTCTTTTAGACAGCAAATTTTCCTGCAAAAAGGGAAGAACAGACTCTTCCTCTCCTCCCCTGCCAGAGCCAACCTGCTTCCCCTGCCACCGCTCCCAGGACTTTTCTTGCCTTGACAGGGAAAGCAGAGAGCTCCTCCCCAGCCTCCTCTGCCAGTAAGCGGAGGGGGGACCAGCCTGGATCAGGCAGCCCAGTGCCCCATGGCTGGAGCTTTGCCCTGGGCACGTTAGCAGTTTACCTGGGGCTTACTGACGTGCCACACAAAATCCTCCTGTGAGTGGGATCGCTCTGGAAACACAATATCTTTGCCAGGAGAGCAGGGTGCCAGCACTGGGGTGCGCAAATGGGGAACCCACCCTGCTGGTGGAGAAGGGGGTGGGCACGGGCTGTGTACACGTACACATGTGCAGAATTTGGCCTTGGGGGGATCAGGTACAGAAGGGTGTTCAGAAATCTGCAGGTGCTTCGCTGACAGCCGGTTGTTTACAGCTCACCAATAACTCAGCAAATCGCTTCAGTCCCCAAATGGTTTCAACCACAAGAGCTGAGCAGTTTTCCCCTGCAGCACCTGCATGGGATGCACAGTCAGTGCCCCCCCCAACTCCCCCCAGTCCGCCCCACCCGCACCCGGCTCTCACCCACAGAGGGGTGAGTGCTCCTCCGCTCCCAGGCGAGGATGCAAATCAAATCCAGGTAACAATGGTGACATTAGATGAGATCATCGGGCTGCCCAGGGAAGAGGTCAAGTTCCCATCCCTGGGGGTATTTAAAAGCCGGGCAGATGAGGTGCCAGGGTTTAATGGTGGGATGGCAGGGTTAGGGGAACAGTTGGGCTTGGTGATCTTAAAGGGCTTTTCCAACCCAAACGATTCTATGGTTCTATGATCTGTCTAAGCCAGATGAACAAAACACCTCAGCAGAGTTACCCAGCATTTCTCTCTGCCAACAGAAGTGGACTTTCTTCCATTCTGGCTTTCTGTAACAGATACCAGCAAAGCTTCTTGTAGCCCAAGGAAAATGTCGTAGGTCAAGCAACACCAAAATGGATTTGCTGACCCGTACTATGTTGCTGATCCCTAAAAATCTCTTGTCAGTATTTTTGAGTTCTTGACCCACAAAAAAAAGGAAGAAGTATTTCCCAAATACTCCTGGCCTGCGGGGGAGGCAAGGACAGATGACAGCTCCTGCTGCCCCGCGCAAGGACGGCTCCCCACAGACAGAAGAGCGACGCTCACCCGCGCGAAGACATCGAGAGCAGCCCTGCAGCCGATAGCTCCCAGCATGACC